TTGTGCTGGTGGTGCTCTCCCCCCCCCCCCCCCGCCGCCCGCGCTTTGGAGGGTTCATTGAATGAAGCATGATTTCGACCAAAAAGGGGAGGAGAAGATGCAGGGAGTTTCCCCTCCCTTTGCCTTTTTTGTTTCGGAAAGCGTTTGCAATGGTATGTTATATTATTATATTTGCATCGCCAGAAAAATGACACAAAGCCACTGTTGCTGTTCATCGCCTTTTTTGTTTCGGAAAGCGTTTGCAATGGCTGAACGACAAACAAGTTTTACCGACATTGTAGTTGACCTGTGGCTTATATGGAGTTGGGCTCCATTTGTTTTTTCCTACAGACGAACGGACGAAGAACATGATTAAAACATTTGCAAAGACCCTTGTCTTCTGTTCCCTTTCCTTTTAGAAAAGTAGTATTCCTCTTCTTTGTCATTTTCTTCCAAAGTAACAAAAAAGAGCATGTTCTTATTGGTTGCTAATGCAATTTGTAAAGGCGGCTTCCCTTTCCAATCTCAAATGGTTTCTCTCCCCTAGACCTCCACACTGTCTGAAACCAACTTTCCGTTGTTCATCTCTCTCTCTCTCTCTCTCTCTCTCTCTCTCTCTCTGAGTACGCATTTTCACACATTATTACTTAAAATATATTTCCACCTTAAAAGATGTAGAAATTAAAATATTCAAAAGCGAAATAAGCACCTTAACATGAGACCATCTGTTTGAGGTTTCAAACTTGAGTGATCATTTTATTAAGTGTTGTTCAAAAGGATGTACAAACTTAGCTGTCATTAGAAAAATGCAACTCTAGTTATTAGAAAAATCAAATAAAATAATTTCGTCACATTGTGGTTGTTGAACTACTTGGTCGTACAACTTGCTCTTCTTAAATTCGTTTACTTGTAAGAGCAGCTCCATCCATCAGCTGAGCCCAAGGCTAGGGGGCAGGGGAGAAAAAAAAGTCGTCCTAGCGGTGAGTTCAAGCTCGGGCTGGGAGTGGGTCCCACGAAGTCTGGCTGGCCCGAAGGCCAGTTCAGCCCGAGGTCGAGCCCGCGTGTTGTGACGTCACGCTGACGTCATCGCGCGCTAACGGTAAAAAAAATTTAAACCAGAGTGCGCTGACGTCAATGCGATGTTGCCTCCAACAGGTGGAAGCCACGTGTCACGCCCCCAGCGCTCCGATCTACTTCTCCGAATCCAATCCAACGGCTGACATTTTTTGGCAATAAAATTATGAAAAAAAATCGAAATTTTTTTTAAAAAAAATACTAAAAAATTCTGATTTTTTTTCCTTTCTATAAATGCCTATCAATACCCTTCACTTTCAACACTAATCCTCATACATTTTATTCTACTTCTATTATTATTCACTCTTTACTCAACATTTTTCTCTCTTTCACTTTGTATTTTTATTTCTTATTTTTATGGCTTCTTCTATCAAAGCTGGAGGGGCGTGGAGCACCATGGAAGATGTTTCCTTGTGTGAGGCTCCAAAATTCTCAATAAAGAGTTGGAAAAATGGAGAGATGCCTTGTCAAAAGCGATGCACAACTATAGAAGCGGGGAAAATCGTACTAACGAGGTAAGTATTTTGTAATTTTCGTTTTATTAAGTTTAATGTCCTAATATATATATTTTGTTAATATTTATTGCATTTTCAATATTTCGTTAATATTTCTTGCATTTTTAATATTTTATTAATATTTCTTGCATTTTCAATATTTTGTTAATATTTATTGCATTTTCAATATTTTGTTAATATTTCTTGCATTTCCAATTGTTTCTTAATATTTCTTGCACTTCCAATTTATTTGTAAGGTTAATTGCATTTCTATTATTATTTTTTTGTTACTTGCATATCCAATATATTTTAAATATTTCTTGCATTTCCATTTTTTTTGTTAAATAGATTATTCAAGCACAGATGCGGTTCGGTGCAACCGGGGGTGGTAAAAAAAGTTTCACCCATCATGAATGTTGAGAGGTGGTGAAATATTGCAAACGCTTCATAATTATTCCCATGGGTCCCGAGGTTATGTTAAACGAGACCCCACTCCGTGATTCAATGCCATCGGATTCACCTATCGATTCCCCTATGAGTCAAGACTCTCCCATTGAAAATGAGCCAAGGCCCATTGGCCGAAAGGCTAAGAAGGCAAAGAAAGCGAGTAATTCAAGCAATAATAATTCAAAGTTTTTGGAGGAAATTGCAAGGCAGAACGCCGTAAGAATTGAAACGGAGCAGAAACGCCAAGAGAACGAGAAGACAATTCAAGCCAAGTATGCAAGAGAAAGGGATTATTTGTGCAAAAAAGATATGGACAAGACGGATCGGGAAACCATGGCGATGGATGCAAGCCAGATGTCCCCTGAAACAAAACAATTTTGGAAGCTAGAACGAAGGGATGTTATGAGAAGAAGACTTTTCCGGAATGATGGGCCTAGCAACACGGATTGGTTAAATTATGAAAACCATTAAACTAGTTGGCATACCTTTTATGTATTTGTATTTTTCATGTTTTCTATTAAAGTTGTTGTAATTCTTAATGA